TCACAAAGACCCAAGTTAACAAGAAACCCTGGTTAATTATGCCACCAGATGGAGCCTCAGTGTCCTCAACCATAAAATGAAAACAGGTTAGAGGGTTAGAGTACTTCTCTCACAGGGTTGTCATGATCTTAGAGGCAACACAAGTGAAAGCGTCAGTCTTGTCTATGTAGCTATGAGGAGGAGGCAGAAGAAGAGGAAGAGGAATTGGAGGAGGGCAAGAGTGATAGACGATGGTGATCAATCATTCCAACCCATCTCCATCCTAATCTCTGTCTTCTCTAGGCAGCTGGAGACCGCATCTATTCAGAGTTCACAATTTACAAGATGTTCTGCCTAAAAGCATCTGTGCATGTGTGCGCACATGTGCGTGTGCACACAGGTGCACATGATATTTAGGGTTTGAATTCAGGGACTCACATTCTCGCTTGGCATTTTTGCTCAAGGCTAGACTCAAGGCTAGATGCTTTACCATTTGAACCACAGCCCAACTTCTGGCTTTTGAGTAGCTAATTGAAGAAGAGTCTCATATAGACTTTCCTTACCTGGGCTGGCTTCAAACTGTGATCCTCAGATCTCAGCCTCCTCAGTTGCTAGGATGCTGGCTCCTAAAAGCATCTTGAGGAAGGCTCACAGGAAGGAGGAGGACATTCAGTAGCTTCCCTTAACAGATGACCAAACTGGAGCTCAGAGGGCAATTGACAGCCATAAGGTTACACTGCTACAAAGAAGCAGCGGAGGGGCAAAACCCAGATCTCTCTTGCCTGGGGACTCTTCACGGTATAGAGATGGCAGTCTATATAGGTAGTGGAAGTGAGGAACCTGTTCCTCATGTGTTAGTTGAGCTGGAGCATCCTCAGCCTACTTCCTGTGGTGAAACTGGGCACTCTCAGTTAAGCTGAGCCAATAGTAGTGGCCTTGTGCTGGAGTGCCCTGCTCAGTCTAGGCTTGGCTTTAGGGTTCCCTTGATACCTCTGTGGACTACAGATCTCTAGGGCACAAGCTGAGAGCAGCACAGGAAGGCATGTTAGGGGTGAGGAGTGCATGGCTTGCCAACACCAAGGCCCACCTTCATCTGGACTATCACACTTGGGGGACAGACCCAACCCACAAAAGGAAGTAGGCTACAAAAGCCAATTAATTGTCCAGCATGTATTTAGTCAACTGGACATGAGATTTACAATACTCCTGGGTCCCTACTGATGAGAAAAGTCTTGGTTTTCCTTTTTTTTTTTTTGAGAAAGATACTTGCTACGTAGGCCAGGTTGGCCTTAAACTCAACTCATGAGCCTCCTAATTCTGCCTCTTAAGGGTTGGGATGATAGAGCTCCTCATGCTCTAGACCTTCCCTAAGCTATACTATCATCCTCCCAGCAGACCTGCATGGTAGTCAGTGCTTTCTAAAGATAGAAAACTGAGGCTCAGAGATTTTAACACTTGTCCAATGTCTCAAAGGCAGAGAGAAAATTTTCACCCAACCCAAACTTACGTTTGATCTGGGCTGTTGAGGATAAGACAGTTATAGCTCATTTTATGTTAACTTGACTGTGCCACGTGGCACCCAGACATTTACTTGTCTAAACATTACTGTTGTCAGTCCATTGAAAACCTAAGTCACAACTGCCTGGTGCAGCTGAGCCTCCTCTGCCCCCCTCCAACAGCCTTCTCTGACCTTTGGACTTAGGGAAACACTGGCTGTTCATGGGCCTCAAGCCTACTGACTTTCAGGCTGGAATTTATACCATCACCTCTCCTGATTCTTGGGCCTTTAAACTTGGACCAAAATTTCACATTGCCTCCTGGGGCAACAGCATCTACTGTAGAGGTGGAGACTTCTCAGCCTTTATTTCCTCTGGTAAATCTTTTTTTTTTTTTTTGCTGGTTGTAGGGCCTGAACTCGGTCCCTGAGCTCTTCAGCTCAAAGCTAGCACTCTACCACTTGAGCCACCATGCCACTTTCTGCTTTTTCTGCTTATGTGGTACTGAGGAATCAAACCCAGGGCCTTATGCATGCAAGGCAAGCACTCTATCACTGAGCCACCTTCCTAGACACTGGTAAATCTTTTGTTGTTGTTGTTGTTGGTCATGGGGTTTGAACTCTGGGCCTGGGCGCTGTCCCTCAGTTCTTCAGCTCAAGGCTAGCACTCTACCACTTGAGCTATAGCACCACTTCCAGTTTTCTGGTGGTTTTTATTGGCGATAAGAGTCTTGTGGCCTTTCCTACTTGGGCAGGCTTTGAACTGTGATCCTCAGATCTCAGCCTCCTGAGTAGCTAAGATTATAGGTATGAGCCACCAGTGCCTGGCTGGTAAATCTTTTTATACACATAGAAATATGTAGGAACACACACACGCACACACACACACACACACACACACGGTCTCTGTTTCTCTAATACAAAGACCTAACCCTGAGATCCCAGGCAGGGGCTGGCTTCATATTTGTATATAGAAAGCTCAACTGGCAGGCTATACCAGAGGCCAGATATCTGAATACCCAGAACAATCATCTGATTTGGCCCCAAAGTCCTTTCTGTTCTCATGTTCCTAACAGGAAGCCTGGCAAGAGAGGGGACTTGCCTGGCCAAATGAGCCCAATTAAATAGCAGGAACCTTGACTCTTTTTTTGTTTGGTTTTGTTTTTTAAACTAAAACATTTCAGTACTTGGGAAAAAGGTGCCCACTCCCTCCAGGCACCATGTCATCTATAGTAATACTAGAAGAGCCCACTAGGTGGGGTCAGTGATGCAGTAGAAAGGGTAAAACCTTGGTTCTAGGAGTGAAGAAAGCAGGGGCAGGAGAGAGAGGCATAGGCTTGATAGATCTGGAATCTTCCTGGCCATCTCAAATTGTATCACCTAGAGTGGATGTCCCAAAAGTGTGAAAATCTATCCCAAGAGTCTCAAGCACTTGAATGGATTGTTATTTCTATAACAACTCTAGGTCTCTACCTCCCAGGCCAGGCACAAATGGCTCATGCCTATAATACTCAGGAGGCTGAGATCTGAGGATCCCAGTTCAAAGCCAGCCCAGGGAGAAAAGTCCATTAAGACTCTTATCTCCAATTAATCAACAAAAAGCTGGAAGTGGAGCTGTGACTCAAGTGGTAGAGCACTAGCCTTGAGCAAAAAAGCTCAAAGACAGTGCCCTAGTCCCAAGTTCAAGCCTTAGGACCAGCATGCGTGCACGCAAGCTCGAACACGCGTGCGTGCACGCGTGCGCATGCACACACACACAAAAAGAAGTTAATTTTTTCCTGAGCCAGAAAGCAAAACAGCCACAAAGTGAAATCACTACCCAAAGCCTTGAAATGCCAGGCAGAGACAACACCCCATTATGAGTGTGACCTTCTTGTGGAGAAAGCATCCAACAGGACCTTCCATGAGACAATCTAAATATCCATGTAGGAACACTACAGCATGGTGGTCATATAATGAGGGAAGGAAAGGGGACAGAGAAGAGGAAGGCAGAAAGGAGAGAAGAGATGGCAGATTGAGATTCTGGCCCTGGTCCTGCACTGAGATTCTGTAGTTCATCATTCTGCACCTGCTTACCATAGGTTGAGTACTTAGTCCCCCCACAGGTGTCTCTGAGTCCTGCTGTCCTTCTTGTCTCAGATAAGATGGCAGAGATGGGGAGCAGAAGTTTTCTCCTTCTTGCCTTCCCCTGGCTGGCCTGAGTTCAGTCCTAGAACACCCTGTCCTCTGTCGGGGATAATAGCTCTGCCTCTGCATGTCCAAGATTGCTGTCTCTAATTTACCACAATCTCCCTGAGGATACCAGGGCCAACAGCTACCCAGAAATGCTGGCTATGGGGAGACTGACGCTGACCAACACCCTTGCCCATCCCCTCTACCTCCCACCTGCCCTCCTCACTATCCCTTCCCAAACTTGTACTGCCTAGCAGCCTCCAAGCTCTGCCTCAGCCTCTGTTGCCATGGCAACAATGTGGCTTCCCCCAAGTGGGAAGCTGGTTGCCAAGGCCCTTGTTGCCAAAGGCTATAACAGCCACCCTGGTGTGTGTGGAGAGGGGGTGAGAGCCTGTAGAGGGTGGGAAGGAGTGAGGAGGGGGCTGTCTCCTAAATGGTAGAGTCCAGGTAGACTCCAGCTTGAATGGGGGTGCAAGACTTCAGCGAGGGGAAATGCATTGCATAGCATCCCAGTGATGCTCCTCTGAGGGTATCAGAGGGACTCCCACAAAACGTACCTGAACAAACTGGACCCAGAAGGAGCAGCATGCCAAGTGAACCCCTCCTCTTCCACCAAATACATACACCACCAAGAGAAATGGCTTTGATTCCTCTCCCCAACTCTAGAAAAAGACCTAAAGAACTTGTGTCTTGCCTGCTCATGTATTTCAGATACATACACATACACAAGACAGGTCCAGAGTTGGTCCCTGTCACCAAAATCAACAGTTCTCCAATATTCCTATCCCCTTCCCTGTCTCAGATGATGGAGCACACTTCATAATCCTTATTAAAATGTTTCACTTGAGAGAAAAGCTCCAACTTCTGCTAACAAGGGAGGAGGACTGCTCACTCCACTCCAGGGTTTATTCTCTTCCTGAGAGAAAAGAACAGGGCTGAGGGACACTACAGGATGCATGGAGAGCCAGCCTTTGGCACACACACCAGGCATGGGCCACCTATGGAACCATGTACAGCCTGAGCACACTTAGAAGAGTCTGGGCCCTCCAGAGCCCTATCTTCATTCTACTAAGGAAGGACTGCAAGGGAGAATCTCCCCATCTCCCCTGCAAAAGGAGCGAGGGTGTCCAAGAGGCATTGGAACAGACAGCTGGCACAGGGGAGACAGGTGTGGGCAGCAGAGAGCAGCAGGTGGGACCCAGGACAGATGCAGATGACAAGGGTACCAAAAGCAGGCAGGCCCACCCTCCCCCCATTCTGTCTACCACCCCCCACCTTCCTGAGGAGACTCCAGCCCATATTGCCCATGCTGTCTTATCACCCCCCCTCCAGAAAGAAAAACAGGTGTACCTACCCCAGGTGCCAGCCCCTCGGGTGGGGTGGGAGAGATGCTGTCCCCACCGCCTTGGCTGCGAGCGCTGAGCTGGGGTGACATGGTGGGTGACTCATCGATGTACGGCATGGTCTCCGAGCCCTCAGGGGGCCCCTTCTGCTCCTCATGCCCCTCTGCGTCGTAGTCGTCGGCTCCGTAGCTGAAGTCTGAGACAAGGAATAAGAAAGGCCACTGAGAGTCCTCCACCAGGGCTGCCAGGGACTGGTAGCGCAGTGGGCGCCGGCGGCGGCCCCCAGCTGCCATGGCCCTGGCAACACCATGCACTCCTGGCTGGGGCAGGGATTGTGCAGGTCAGGCCCAAGGAGGGGCTGAGAGCTCCAGCGGGCACAGCTCTGAGTGCTCTGTTCACTCCGGTCAGAGGCTGCTTGCTGGGAGCCTGGGAGGAGCGGCTGGGCTGTCACCACCCGCCTAATAGCATGTCAGCCAGCCGAGTACTTGGAGCTGCTGTTTCCTTTGCTTACTGCCTAATTCCACGTCTAAAAATTAACAGTGGGATCGGGAGGCAGGACGCTTCCAACTCTCCTCTCTGAGTCACCATTTTGCTTTTTATAGGGAATAAGGAGGTGGGGGTGGGCCAAGCCATGTCACTCCCTCGGCCCCTCCTCCTTGGGTACCATTTGTATACTTAGCCCAGTCCCACTGGGAGGGGGGAGAACCTAGGGCTGGTTTGGGGGTGGGAGGTGGGGAAAAAGGTCCCCATGGGGGGTCCCTCATCTCTCCATATGAGGCCCTAAGTGCAGGACAGAGCCTAGGCAGGCAGGCGTAGGCGAGAGGCAGTGCTCAGGCCTCGCAGGGACCTGGTAAGCAACAGACTCCTCAAAAGCTGCACTTGTGTGTGTCTATAATTCCAAAGCTGGTTTCCTTTAGGGAAGGAGGGAAGGAAGGCAGCAGGAAATCAGGCTATGTTAACCCCCTCTGTGCTGTCAACACTTAGACTCCAGTGCCCACTCAGATACCCCCTGCTGGGGACAGCAGGCCAGACCAACAGGGGACAGGGCAGTACCTCAGGGCTCTGCACTGAAAATGGCTACAGGAACAGCCTCATAAAGGGCCCAGTATCACACCCCGCTGGTGGGGGTCTCTCCTGCAGTACTGTGAGGAACCTCCCACTGCCCACTCAGGCTCATTTGGCCCACTGCTTTCTCCAGCTCATGCCAGGCACAACCCTGATGAAGAGAGCTCTGCCAGGATACTAGTTCCAAAGGAGTTTCCTGAGCTGTGACTACTCGGAACAAGGGACATTAATCTCTTAAGTCATTGCCAGTCAGGGACCGATGGCACTGGCTTTGAAATCAATAGGAACCAAGTGCATCCCAGGTAGGACACAAAGAGAATAGTACCAGGCCTCCTGGCTTAAGGCAGCCTTGGGGCCAATGGTGGACTGTCTTGCACATTGCTAGGTACTGTACCTAAGCACCTTCTAGATGGGAGGTATAGGCCTTGCCTGCCTAGGAGTATCCCCAGTATGGTAGAGGAGTCTTGCTGGACCTTTTCAGACATCCTTTCCTCCAGGATGTCTTCCAGCTCATAACACATGGCCTCCTGGTGTTCCTTTTGATCCTGGGGCAAGAACTGAGTGGCCATGGATGGGGGCTCAGCCCTCTTAGGTCGACATGAGGCAGGCAGGCTCTAGGTAGTAGGTGTGGTGAGAAAGAATGGGCAGAGGAATTCACCATTCATCTCAGGTCTGGGCTTTGCACTTTCCCGCCAGAGCCCCAGCTCCTCCTCCTCTGTCACAACACACCAGCCCATGAGCCGAGTCACCAACAGCCTGAGAATGGTGTCAGCGGGTCAGTGGGGCGCCTGGCCATGGCCACACTCAGTCAATCTGGCCCTTTGGCAGCCAACAGCTTCCCCCAGGCTTGCTGCACCTGTTCCTACTGACTTCTGCTCCTGAGCTCTAGACTGATACCTATTAGACTGTCTGGGGATACAAGCTGTTTTTCCCAGGACATCCTAGTGACAGACAAGCTAGCCTCTAAGAAACATTCATGCCTATGCACCCAGGAAACAAGACTCCTGGCCCTGAAGGCCATGAGGCCCTGTGTCCACAGCTAGCAGGAAGTAAGCTGACTTGGTATTTCCCTGAGACAGGAGGAAGGACACACAACTTGCCATGTGCACAGTCTGGCTCAGGGAGGGCTTAGTTTTCAGGCAGGTCCTCCCTGAAGCAGGCAGGTCCTCCCTGAAGCAGGCATAGGAGGAACTTGAGACATCATGTTGATCAGGAGGCTTCAGGGGCTGTGAAGCTAAGGTTGGAGCCAGGAGCCATGATGGACCCTGGCCAGTCTACAGTTCAGGCTCCAGCAGGCTGATGTGTTTCCAGAGGTCATGGGAACAGAGCCCATACTTTCCAGGTATTTCCCAAGGGCAGGGTTCATGGAAGGAACAAGGAAGGCAGCCTGGCTCACCTCCCCCACGCAGCCTGGTGTCCCTACTACCTCATGGTCATAATGTCTCTGCCAGTCTTTCCTCAACACGCACAATTCATCAGAGACGAATGGACCATGGCCCCCACTGTCTCCTGCTCCTCTCAACCCAGCCACTTTTGTGAAATGTTCTTACTGTCCCCAATTCACAGACAAGGTCAAGTCTCAGGCAGTTGGCTAAGGGCTCAGAAAACAGCTACACCCAGGTCCCTTTGTCAAACTTTCCAAGGACCATCCTTTCCCCTCTGAATCTCACTCCAAGGAAATCCCTTCCTTGGTCCAGATAGCAGAGGCTGATTGTACAGGAGAGCAAGGAAGTGCTTCAGGATGAGATGCAGTTAGTCCTCATTCCAAAAAAATTTTGAGAGCCAACCAGGCTCCAAGGGCTCACACCTGGAATCTTAATTACTCAGGAGATTGAGATCTGAGGATCATGGTTCCAAGCCAGCCCAGGCAGGTTAAGTATGTGAGACTCTTATCTCCAATTAATCACAGAAAAAAAAAACCCACAGAAGTTGTACTGTAGCTGAAGTGGTAGAATGCTAGCCTTAAACAAAAGGAGCTTAGGGATAGAGCTCAAGCCCAGAGTTCAAGGCCCAGGACATGGTGGGGATGGGGGAGAGCATGGAATTCCCCAGAGCTAGGATAAAGGATCCAGAAAAATACAGGGAAAGCAACACTCTAAGAAGGAGGAGCCCCAGGACAGATGGAGACCTTCAAGACATAGGGATTTAGTCTAAGAAGGTCACAGATAACAAGTGCTTAGGCCATGGCTTGGACACCAGTACTCAAAAAGAAGGCGGCAGATGAAGCTGCTGACAACAATTCACTTTGTGGTAACAGAAGTTCCATTGTACTTGGAGTGGTAGTGTGCCTAGTGGGTAAAGACTTTTCCTAGTGGTATGTGACATGTGGCTAAGACCTTGCCAAGGATATGTTAGGTGGGCATACATGGGACTTTGATGAAGACTATTAAAACATATACAACTCCATCCCCTCGCCTTTACTATTCCTCCTCCAGTTGCCAGTTTTCAACACAGATGGCATAGCCAAAGCTGTAGTAATCCTATTGAAGAGACGGAAGGCTAGGAATGCAACCCACTGGTGGCATTCTCACTCTGGGATGGTCTTCCTCTGGGAGGGAGGGTGGGGTGAGGGGTATTGCTGCTGGTCACTGGTGGCTAACACCTGAAATACAAGCTACTCAGGAGGTTGAGACTTGAGAAGCCAGGTTCAAAGCCAACCCAGGCAGCCATTCTGAGACTCTTACCTCAAATTAACCACCAAAAATGTCAGAAGTGGAGTTGTGATTCAAGTGGTATTCAACAACCTTGGGTGAAAAAACTAAGGAAATAGTGCCAAGGCCGTGAGTTCAAACCCAGTACCAACACACAAATACACACAAGATAATAAGTAAGAAATAAATAACAACAACAACAAACCGATGGTATCCAAACCACTTAGGTTTTTTTTTTTCTTTTACTCCCCCCATCCCCCAATCATGGGGCTTGAACTCTGGGTCTGAGCTCTGTCCCTCAGCTCTTCAGCTCAAGGCCAGTGCTCTACCACTTGAGCCACAGCGCCACTTCCAGTTTTTTCTGTTTATGTGGTGCTGAGGAATTGAACTCAGGGCTTCATGCATTCGAGGCAAGCACTCTACCACTGAGTCACCTTCCCAGCCCCTCCCCCTCTTTTTAATGCCAGTCCTCGGGCTTGAGCTCAAACTTTTGTTCAAGACTAGTTGCTCTACCATTTGAGCCACAACTCTATTTGTGGCCATTCTTAGGTTGTTCCTACACTTTTTATTGTTCCTTTCTAATCTCTTGGTGAGATTTTTCATTGCCCACTTCTTAAAAATAGGTGTTCTTTATAGATTCTTACAATATGCTATCATATAACAAGAAAAACACATGACTCTCAGCAATATTACCCCAAGGGAAAGAATGTGGGTATACTTTCACTCATATGAAATTCTAAATTAAAAAAAAGAAAAAGAAAATAAAAATGTACAGTGGTTGCCTCTGGGGACAGGGTGAAGATAGGAGTTGACTAGAGCGGGCACAGGGAACTTTCTGGGCTGACAGAGTGTTCTGTATTTTGACAAGAATTTGGAGCACACAGGTGAATATGTTCATCACAGTTGATCAACTGACACAGTAGAGATTTGTGCAGTCACTACCTACTCTAACTCTAACTCTAGTTAATGACATGCTGAAGCATGCTGATGTCAGCAACTATGAAATATATAAAAAAAGAACACGGAACAGGGATGGATAGATGTAAAATCAAACTGTAGGAAAATGATAATTATAGACTTGAGATAGTAGCTAACTGGAGCGTCTCCGTATAGTTCTTTCAACTTTTCTCCACATTGGATGTTTTGATTTTTTTAAAAAAATGGCTTCTGTCACCACTCCTTGGCTTCCCCTTCCAAGTTTTATGTACACTCCAGGGAGAGGCCTGGGCTGCAAGTCTGTCTCCAATTGTTTCCTGGACCTATCCCCTGCTACTCCACCCTCAAACCTAACCTTTTTCTGCAGTTAAAATGCAAGATCAAGTCAAGCACCAGTGGCTTACATCTATAATCCTAGCTACTCAGGGGGCTGAGATCTGAGGATCACGGTTCAAAGCCAGCCCAGATAGGAAAGTCTGTGAAACTCTTATCTCCAATAAACCACTAGAAAACCAAAAGTGTCTCAAGTGGTAGAGTATTAGCC